AGAAAACAATATGGATGAATACTTTGGAATCTTGAAGAGAAAACGACCTCTCTCAGTGTGACACAGAACTCGGGAGCCTCACAGGAAATGTTTGGCGATTTGCGATTTGATTACATAAAACATTACAACTCACTCCTCAAACACACCAGATAAGCCAGCCATGTACTTGTGAAAAGATAAAGAAGCTCATTAAAATGTAAGTCCAGCTCAGCCTGTTCTTAGTCTATGATTATTAATAGGACCAGATTCCTGTTTTTTTTTCATATAAACATTGGGCAACATAATAAAATACTGTGCAGGGAGCATTTCTAATTTTTAACTCATAGGCACAGAAAATCAATCCAATGTTCTTACTATGTTGATTATGAAAGAGAAATTCCCATCCCAGGCAGCACGGAGGGGACCGTTTGCTACTGAGTGGACTTGCCTGCCAGTCACGTGCCCCTGCTGGGATTTAACCTGCAAGGTGTATGGTCCCCTCGAGCCTCCTGCTCCTTACTGCCAGGGGCACAGAACAGGTGGAGCTGGTGTCAAGACAGTAACCTGAGGACTTCCGTGCAAGAAGAGGGTGCGAGGAGCGCGGTGGAACGGACTGTTGTTCACGGCGTCCTGGTGCCAAGGAACGACTCGGGGTCTGTCCTGGTTGGGGACTGCGTTTGGACAGGGGCCAGGCCTGCGTGCCCCTGTCTGCTAGTGGGTGTGGGTGGACTTTCCTGCTGGGGTTGCCAGTGGGCCCGCTGGCAGGACAGGTGAGGTGTCAGCACAGCTGGGTGCCCTGAACACTGTGCCAACACCAGCCAGGCTGCCCTAAGAACAGACCTTCCCAGCGAGTTCACATCAAATGTAAACACTTCTTGCTTTTATTCTTAAGAATTTCTGTCTCTCTGGGTGATCAGAGTCCTTTTACATGTCACTCTGAACAACGCCCTTCTGTGCAGGTCCAAGGCCAGAGACAGCGGGCTACGGCAGGCGAGGCCGTCCGAGGGCCCGGGAGGAGGGGCACGGCCTGGTTCCAGCTGCAGCCACAGGCCTGGGCACAGGCCTGCTCCCCAGAAAGGCCCACAGGGTGGACGCTTCAGTCCCCAACGCTGAAGTCGTTGGGAGAGAAACGGGAACTAGTCTAAAGAAGGAGGGCTGGAAGTTTGCCACACACACCCACACCGTCTCTCCCGAACCCAGCCTTCCCGGCGGCACTACCTGCCGCTCAGCTGCCCAGCGTCCCCAGGCTGTCTGCACCCTCCCGCTGCGCAGGTGGGACAGCCGAGGTTCACAGGTGACAAACCCTTGCCCGAGACTATGTAAAGGAACAGAGGTGGCCCTCAGAGGGGGCTTTCGTTCTTGTCTTAACTTTTTTTTTTTCTTTATTGATCTTAGAGAGAAAGGAAGGGAGAGGGAGAGATGGAAACATCGATGAGAGAGAACATTGATTGGCCGCCTCCTGCACGCCCCCCACTGGGGATCTGGCCCACAACCTGGGCATGTGCCCTGACTGGGGATCAAACCTCTTGGTGCAGGGTCGATGCCCAGCCACTGAGCCACACCAGCTGGGCTGTTCTTTTTTTTCTGGGCACACATACTTTATTAATAACATATTTATTCCCGTCACCCTTTCCCCCTCCTGTATGGCAACCGTCTGTTCTCTGTATAGGTGAGTTTTTTCTGTTTTGTTTGTTAGTTTTTGTTCTTTATATTCCACATATGAGTGAGATCATATGGTATTTGTCTTTCTGTGTCTGACTTATTTCACTTAGCATAATGCTCTCCACATCCATCCATGCTGTCACAAGGGTAAGATTTCATTCTATTTATGGCTGAGTAGTATTCTGTTGTATATATGTACCACATCTGCTTTATCCAATTGTCTATTGATGGACACTTGGGTTGCTTCCATATCTTGGCTACTGTAAATAACGCTGCTATGAACATAGGGATGCATATATATTATTTAATTCAATGTTTCAGGTTTCTTTTGATATATACCCAGAAGTGGAATCACTGGATCCCATACAGCTGTATTTATTTATTTTTTATCCTCACCCGAGGGCACTTTTGCATTTATCTTCAGATAGAATGCGAGGAAGAGAGGGAGGAAGAGAGAAAGGGAAACATCGATGTGAGAGAGAAACATTGAGTGGTTGCCACCCACACGACCCCAACCAAAGCCGGGGACAAACTGCAACTGAGGTACATGCCCTTAGCGGGAGCCGAACCCAGGACTCTCTGGTTCACAGGCCAATGCTTTAACTGCTGAACCAAACAGGCCAGGACCCATACAGTTCTATTTTTAGTTGTTTGAGGAAACTCCACACTGTTGTCCACAGTGGCTCACCAGTCTGCACTCCCACCAGCAGTGCACTAGGGCTCCCTCTTCTCCACACCCTCGCCAGCACTAATTGCTTGTTATCCATTGATGGTAGGTAGCCTTTCTGACAAGTATGAGGTGATATCTCGTTGTAGTTTTAATTTGCATCTCTCTGGTAATTAGTAATGTTGAGCATCTTTTCACGTATCTGTTGGCTGTCTGTATGTCCTCTTTGGAGAAGTATCTATTCAGGTCCTCTGCCCATCTTTTAATTGGATGACGCTGGTTGTTTGAAATAAGTCATCACAATCTGGGTCACAGGCATCAGACAGACAGGCAGTGGGGCTGAACTGTGGAGGAACAGTCTACCCCGGTGTTTGAGCAGTTTTAGGACCATCCCTCATGACTGACGTCACTGCATTTGCATGAAAAGTCACCAGAGTAAAGAGGTTAAAGCCCTAAGAGATTCCTGTGGGCGATTCGTTGCTACAGAAACCACATCTTGGTAGTTGATGGCTACAGGTGTACGGTTCTTAATTTTTTTGTCCAGGAACTGAAGGAATGCAGACTGGCCAGGAAGGGGCACAGCTCATTTAGCCCTTTGCATGCTAAAAAGAAACAGGTGTGTATTTGCCACACCTCTGTGAGAGAAACCTTGAACACAAGCTTTTCCTGAGGTAAGGCCTACGTGGTTTTATTTACTTTTTTAATCTTTTTTTTCCTTTATTCATTTTAGAGAGAGAAGTGAGAGGGAGAGAGAGAAACATTGATGAAAGAGAACATCGATTGGCTGCCTCCTGCATGCCCCCCACTGGGGATTGGGCCCACAACCTCGGCATGTGTCCTGACCGGGACTCGAATTGGTGACCTCTTGATGCATGGGTCAACGCTCAGCCACTGAACCACACCGGCCAGACTTTATGTGATTTTTAACAATAATTACAGGGGTCAGCAAATAGGTTAATGGTTGTGAGCACTCAAGTTTATTCTGGTATTATTACTCATTATTATTATTAACTTCCTCTTGCCCACCCCTGTATCTATGCCCCCTTCCCATCAACTCTCGTGACTGATACAAATCTTACGGTCACTTTGGGGGCTGGTGGTGAGACTGATAAAAGTCTCTGATGCTCAGGCTGAGAACCTTGATCCTTGTCCAGTTGACAAGGCGCCTGTCAGAACATGTTCAGATCTCATCATCCCTAAAGTTCTGCTTTTGCGCAGCTCGCGGAACACAGATTGGCCACCTCAGCCGTGCAGTTGAGGCTGGTTTTCTCCTGCTGAGATGGTCCTGTAATTAGTAGGTTCTATCAAGAAGATGGTGGAATTTAAGATTACTGATTGGGGCTCATGTGAGACAGGAACCCCAGGAATCAACTACTAAAAACTCTCAATTTAGCTTTTGCGATTGAAAATATCTTAGCCAGGTACGGCCCTGGCCAGTTTGGCTCAGCAGTTGGAGCATCGGCCTGCAGACCGGAGAGACCCGGGTTCAGTTCCTGCTAAGGGCATGTACCTCAGTTGCAGTTTGTCCCTGGCCCGGGTTGGAGTCGTGTGGGTGGCAGCCACTCGATGTGTCTCTCTCACATCAATGTTCCCCGCCCCCCCCCCCCGCTCTATCTGAAGATAAATGTGAAAAAAAAAAATGTCCTTGGGTGAGGGTAAAAAAATATATATATATCTTAGTCAGGTACGTATGGACAAATGTACAATCCCTCTTACATGAGGTGCCTAGAACTGACAAAGGCAGAGACACAGGTGGGAGGGCGGGGCCAGGCCTGGCCATCATTCTTGCCCCTCGGAACTTGGGAAGGCACCTGCTGCTGTGGTCCTGGCTCAGCACTGGAATCAGTCTGCGCTCTCCGCTCTGAGCTCTCTTCTGACAGACTCCACCCCACAACTCAAACAGCTTGAGAAAAGCCTTTATTGTACGAATATACTCTCCATGACTGGACGCAATACCTGGGCCAGGTAAGAAATTCTGCAGGAACCTGTTCCTGCCACGACCCCGGGTGCAGAGGGTTCTGTCCAGGCCGTGCTCTGTCCAGGGCCCTGTCCGGGTGCAGGGGGCTCTGTCCAGGGCCCTGTCCGGGTGCAGAGGGCTCTGTCCAGGCCGTGCTCTATCCAGGGCCCTGTCCGGGTGCAGGGGGCTCTGTCCAGGGCCCTGTCCGGGTGCAGAGGCCTCTGTCCAGGCCGTGCTCTATCCAGGGCCCTGTCCGGGTGCAGAGGGCTCTGTCCAGGGCCCTGTCTGGGTGCAGGGGGCTCTGTCCAGGGCCCTGTCCGGGTGCAGAGGGCTCTGTCCAGGCTGTGCTCTATCCAGGGCCCTGTCTGGGTGCAGGGGGCTCTGTCCAGGGCCCTGTCCGGGTGCAGAGGTCTCTGTCCAGGCCGTGCTCTATCCAGGGCCCTGTCCGGGTGCAGAGGGCTCTGTCCAGGGCCCTGTCCGGGTGCAGGGGGCTCTGCCCAGGGCCCTGTCCGGGTGCAGGGGGCTCTGTCCAGGGCCCTGTCCGGGTGCAGGGGGCTCTGTCCAGGGCCCTGTCCGGGTGCAGAGGGCTCTGTCCAGGCCGTGCGCACCTGCCGGCATCTCAGGACGGGGAGTGCGGGAGGAGGCCGGAGACAGTGCAGAGAGAGGAACTACAGCTTCACACCAGTACGTTAGAATCAGTAAATCCACCATCTTAAGTAAAAATGGATGATTTTATTATATAAAATGATTGGCAGAATACAGAAAAATTACTTCTCTTTTACCTTTACATATTTATCTAAAGTACCAAGCGACAACTGGAAGAACTGATTACAAACTATCAAAAGGTATTCATTTGGTGAAATTATTCAGGTTACAAAATGTTAAGTAATAAATGCACTTCAAAGTACATTAAGTACAACACAAGTATGACAATAATGATCTTAAATTAATGATTCCTTTAACAAACTAAACAAGGGCCATAAGAAAAGTTTTCAAGTTAGACAGAAAAGAATAAATCAAACAAATGGTTCATTGTAAAATCATTAAAAAAAAAACAAACACCAACCAACCAAAGAACTAAACAAGGAATTAGGATTCAGAAGAGTAAGAATATTCCAATACCATCCTTTTTCCCTACCAACAGAGGAGAAAGGATCTGGAGGCCGACTGTGCTGTCGACTCAGGCCCACGCCGAGGTCTTTCGGTGTGGACCTAGCGAACCTCACGGTCACTCAAGTTGAGAAATGTGTGTATATGAAGGAAAGGAAAACACTCATACTTGACGCACTGACATCAAACGCCCCTCAGCGTAAGACTAGAATAATCTGCTTCCACAGAATCCGTTTGCACTTCAGTAATCAGGGCAAAGGTCTCACCTGGATGAAAGGCAAATGGGAAGTTTCTGATAAGCTAACAACTTCTTGCCAAAAACAAGCTACGGACCAGAGAGCCTGCATTCCTATCTATAAACTCGATGGTAAAAAACAAAGGAAAAAACTGATCTTTAAATTCACAATTAAACTATATTAAAACATACGGTGATGAAGTGAACACGTCACACAAAGCCTCTGCCACATACTGTACGCCCTACTCATAAGTGCTGCTAATAAATACAGTTCACATTTCAGAATTCCTGAGTCTCATCAGAGAAAAACAAGGACTGAGAAACAAACAAAACAAACCTACTCGACAGTAGGGACAATAATACAAATTTGGGCATGAAGGTAACATCGCATTTAGAGTTTTAAAGCTGAAGACAATGGGGACAAATATATAAGTACTTCCATGGAATTATAAACATGATTTTAAAGCTTTTTTTTTTTTTAAAGGCGTTTTGATCACATAAGGCCACCTGAGTGACAACATCAATGATGGTCAGCCCACCATTTTAAAGAAAAAACGTTTTTATATCAAAGCCTAATGAGTATAAAGAGAAGCGCGTTTAATGAAATGCTAAGTCAGACTGCTGCAGAGCAGGCCTCTGACCGCAGACCCACGAGGACAAAGCGCCACTGACGGGATTAGCTTCCTTGCTCCGCACCTGCCCAGGGAAATAAAGGTGTCGTAAGAGCACTTCAGTCCGAGGACCAGGGTCTCAGCCCGTGAACAGGCGTGAATGCCCTGCAGTGACGCAGTGCCTGCAAACATACATTCAGCCCGAAGTTCACATGTTCCTAACTCGGAAGAAACAAGGAAGCAAAGTGGTCCCACTTAAAACAATAAAACAAAACAAAATCTGTTTATCCTTTCTGGAAAGACTACCAAAGCAAAGGGCCTCGATAATATACATGTAAAACCGCGAACTTGCACTGCGCTTTGTAACAGGAAAGATGCATACAGCTGTTCAGGGACTTTATAAATAAAGACGAACCAGAGAAATGCTCGGTCACTGCTGTGTTCACAAGGACCCAGAAAGAAAACAGTAACACTAAAGTGCAGACTGACAGGCCTTCGCAGGCATACAGATGGTCAAGGGGTGCAGCCAAAATTGTATCTACATGGATACTCACACATCCAGAGAGTAATCCTTGCCTTAAAAAAGCTGTGCCATTTAAAAACCAGTCAGTTTTGTTTGTGCTGTAGTACAGTCAGGACTTGTCTCTGCACCCGCGAGGGGACCGCCACGCCTCGGACAGCTGACCGGCTCTGGACAAGCGCGCGTCTCACTGGGGGTCACACGATGTTGATTCCGCCTCTGGGGAACGCCGGGGCCCACTTGCTGTGTGAGGAGCCACTGGCGTCTGGCTGACCGCCCTTCACCGGGGAGGGTTTCAGTTCCATTTCACAAGCCACAATAGCCGCATTCAGTCCCGCTTGCGCTCGATGGACTACATAAAACATGAGGCCTATACTTATAATAACCTGTGAATAAAATAAAACATGACAGTTAACGTTTTACACAGAAAAAAAGAGAGGAAATAACTCCAATAAATATTTGGCTTAGAAATATTTTCAAACAGGATGCCTCTCAAATATGCTTGGGTAAGATTTTTAAATAGTTCACACACACTTGTCACATACACGTCGTCATTATTCTTTCCTTAGCTGTCTTTACTGGGAGTGTAGGACAAAATCTCTAGGCAAACACTGGTGGAGTCAGGTAAACACAAGACAGGCACGCACCTCTCCCAGTCCACGTTTGCCGCATCCGAGGCCGGCCCGTGTCTCTGTCCGAAAGGCTCCTTCAGGGAGCCCAGGGCGCACGGCAGGGGAGCGCCGGCTGACCTCTCCGCTGCACTCAGTGCAGCCGCCACTCTGCACAGCCTGTGTCCACAGGCATTTCTAGCCTCTCCGAGCACCACCATTTGCAAATGAAATTCCCGGCGCAGTCAAAATCAGAAATATTAAGAGCCACTTGAAAAATAAAATGCCAATAAACTTCAAAGACTAAGAAGAGATTGTGAACATGACACTGTCCGTACTTAGGGACGGAAACAAAGGCAAGCAAGGCGATGGTGGGCACGTGGCCGGGCAGAGGCAGCACACGAAGCCGGGTCCTGTCTCGGTGCAGCCTCGGCAGCGGTGAAGTTCTGGGAAGGCCCTTATGCCTTGGCTCCGGTTTCTGTGTTCAGCAGGGAGCCACGCTTGTGGCTGTCCATCACCATGTCCCGGCAGCCACCTTTTCTAAGTGGTCACGATTCAAAGGCCATTTGTTAATCCGTCCTCTAGAGCTTGGAGCAAATCTCAGAGAAACAAGCAGAGCAGGAGTTGTGTGACGTCCCAGCAAGGGTCCCAGGGCGGCTCAAACCAGAGGTGACCCTAAAACATGACCCTGCTCTAGGACGCCTACCCGGAATTTTAAGTTTTATGGGCAGAGTGGCCTTACTTCAAGCGTTGAGTGTGGGGAGGGGTGGAGGCAGGTGGGTGCTGGGGTGAGGTCGGTGGGGAGGCTGCAACTTGGTTAGGGGACACCACGAAGAGAACTCCATCACTCAGTACAATTCTAAGCAAACAGGTGATTTCAAGGGGAGTCTTTGGATCTCGTGTTTGTTCTCTAACATGTTCATTCTTAAAAAAATAAGGCACACTGACTGAAACCCTAAGTGTGATGTCGGCAGTGCGAAGGGACACCATGCGGACGGGGAGCACGGTGAGCACCGGGGGAGAGGCGCGGACCAGGGCCAGGGGCCAGGTCCTGAGAGCCGAGCTGGACTGGAGGTGGTGAATGGGTCTGAGACAGGAATGAAGGTCGAGCCGAAGACACTGGGGTCCCCGCACTCACACACACAACCACAGCTACGACAGGAACAATGTGCCAAGAAGAGAGGTTTCCGAGTGAGCCCAGGAGGCTCCGCTCCGGCCTCAGGAGCACTGACGTAGGGGCGAGGAGGGAGGGTCCTGATAGAGGGCCAGGCGAGTGCAAACGCGCTGGAGAAATCAGGATGCTCGGGACGAAGGCCTCTCATCCCGCAGTCTGACTGCGCCAGGGTGGTGTGCCGGCTTCGGGGGGGGGGGGGGGATGAGGCCGCAGGAAGGAGGCGAACCGCTGGCCCGTCCACATGGCATTCTCCCCAGGTGTCCCTATGTCCCTATAGACCCAGGGCCTGGCGGTTTGTACTGACTCTCCACACTCCACTTCTGAGCCAGTGAAGTGTAGGGAAAGGACGACGGTTTTAAAAAGTCTCCCTATTAAAATAAAAGCCTCGAACACAGGTGGAAGGATCTGTCTCACACAGAGAAACAGGAACTCTTCACCATCAACTGGAAACAGTGAGCAGAACACGGAGGCTAGATTCTCAGATGGAAATTGAGGGACTTTCCATTTGAAGACCTGACTTTTCTGTTAATCAAGAAGAGAGTCTGTGGAGAATCAAGAGGGAAGTAGAGCAGGGAGTCAAACCACAGAGTGGAGATGGATCAGAAGGCGACCCTGAGGATGACCTGCAGCATGGGGCAGGGCTGAGACCGGCGGCGTTCGTAACCAATGTCTGGTTGTGCAACTGCCCCAGAGGAACAGGTGCAAAGCAGATGAGACAGACTTATCCAGGGCTGGGGTCCTGGCTGGTGGCTGCACAGGAAAACATGGGGCAAGGACAAGAGTACTTGAATGGCCAGACCGTGGGATCGCGCCGGCTTCTGGACAAGGACTGCGCCCCCTCTGAGCACCTCCATGCCACTGTTCAGTGCTGTGGGCCGTGGGCTCTGTAGGCAGCTCCAAAACGGATGCCATTTGGGCTCATTTCTAGCAGCAGCGAGGAGCGTTATGAACACCTAACTCCACCAGCTGTAACCGAAGCTTCCTCCTTTTCCCTGTGCTGCTTTCCCTTCAAGAAGATGTCTTTCCCCTCTTTCAATGTGTCCATACATCTTCTGTAAGCTGAACTAAGTCCTTCCAGAAACAAACTCAGCTGTAAGCAACATCAATAGATCTGATCGAGGCACAAATACATCTTCACTTTTTTGTTGTTGTGGTGGTGACTTTCATAAATGCTTGGGTTAAGAGACATTTGCTTTCCCCCCGTTTTGTGTCCTCAGGTTAAGTTTTGCAGCTCATGCAGAGGTAAGAAATAAGTGGAAAAAGACGACCTTGTACTTTAAGACGTACTACTGACCAAGGTGTGAACTTTGTGTCCTATTATAACCCAGGAACTGCATATTGAGATGCACAGAAAATACTGAAAATCTTCTGAACGCTACTAATATGAGGAATTCTAAGTACTCAAACATTGTGTAGGGGAAAAAGAGGTTTCAAATGGATTACTCATTTTCCGGAAACTGGAAAAATAAAATGTGCTTAAATTTATATTAAAAATATCTGAGAATGCAGTGTACATTCGAATTTTATAGGACATCAGCATGATTCTAAACAAATTATTACATAGACAGAATGCACAGAAAGTTTAGTAAGTGATTAGCACTAATGAAAATAAACCAACTATAATAAAAACTCTAAACCTAGATTCACATTATCTAAAACAAATATATAGCTCTGGAGAAAAATAGTAAAGAAAAATTCCTGACTCCCCAAATATCAAAATATTAGTTTTTCTTGATAAGCTCTTTCATTGACAAGCTTTATCTATAGTTCATTGTAAATATCCCTGGGCTCACTGTTTACTAAGCTTGTACTGCATAGGCATAAAGGAAAGCACTCTGGCTTTATTTATCATAGCATTGTTGATACAATATATAGCACCTCAAAAACTTGGGAATAACACCACAACAGTGAGTCTGTAACATGACACCACATATTCAGTAACAGTATGAATTAAAACTAACAAGTACAGGACCAATGACATAGGTTGGTTGTCTCCCTAATACTATCTGCTCAGCAGACTACAGTCTGCTAGTCGTCGAGCATGGACAGTCTCTAGAACCAACTGCTTTGGCTCAAGTCCTGGCCCTGCCCTTGCAGCTGTCCCAAATAAAGTTCATTCTCTCTTTTAATACCTTCAGCAGCCAGCACTAATAAGCCTTAGACAAGCTGCAATCTGCTGGTGTGCTGACAAACTAGCTCTTGGGGATGAGAGGTGGGAACCTTGATTTGGAGCACCTGCCATTTTCCATGGTGTAAATATTTCTGCCATGATTGATGTCAAGCTACTGACATAACATCACTGAGGGAACAGCTGGAAAGAGATGTCCACGATGGGCTTGAGATAGTACAAGTACAGACCCTCCTAGGGTTTTGGGAGGAATTAAATGAGCTCAACTATATGGCATGTAAAGCACTCGATAAAAATTAGCTATCATCTTATATCATCTTACTAAGTCATCAAAATATCTGATGCTTTTATATTTTGGTAAATCTCAGTAATAAAATGTATCACAACTAAATAAGTAAAATTTTAACTCTTCCTGTATGCAATTTAAAGGCACTGAATATATGTGTCTACATAGCAGAACTTTTCTTTTATCAACCTCTTACATGGTATTATATGTACCCCAGACTATATTACAGTTTGCATAGTAATAATATACATCACAGAAATCTTATCTAGATCTGTAGCAGAATACTTGTTCTATGTCAAATTGTACCAGAAAAACATTTACATTGACAGTAAATGCCTACAGAAGAGTTCAATAATTTGAAGATAAAGTAACTAATCTAAAAAATCAACCCCACCAAATTTCACTAAAATTATCTTCTGAAACAGTATTAACACTTCACACTAACTCAAAATAGAATATCTGATTTAGTAGTGACTCTGAAAATAATCACTGCAGAAAGAACCTGGCTTTTGTCTTTCCCTTTTAAGAGAATATTCAATAAGTGTCAATTTATTCCTATATACTTCCATATAGCCACACAATTAAAATGTAAATATTGTCAAAATAGTAAGTATACTTTAAAGAACATGAAAAGGAAAAACTCTCTTATTTTCAATAAAATCTTTTAGGTTTAAATCAACAATGTCATACAAGGGAGGAAAAAAGACAACCCCTGGCCTTAAACTCACCTGTAAACAGAAAACAAAATACCCACTAACAGTCTGCTCTGCAATGACATCTTCCATTGTCCGCAAGGTGGTGCCCAGGTAGGAATTCAGGACCTGGGTAGGAAGCAGCCCAGCAGAGGATGCCATCAGGTAGTTGGGTAAGGAGAGATCAGTCATCTGGAAGACCAGAGTACAGGGAATGGAATACAATCATTACCAAGAAAACTTTCAATCTCACATAAAACTGTGGTTCAAGTCTAGCTAATGGTTTTTCCGTGGGAGTAGAGGGAGCTAAATACTTTACAAGGATGATTTTTAAAAATAATTATGAAGGGAATACATGCAGAATTGAGATTTATAATGAAATAAAGTTTAAAATTTCTAAATATTCTAGTATTCTACCATTAAAGATAACATTTGCGACTATCTTTTTTCCCCTCCGTGTACATAAAGTGCACACACAACACTTTGTAAAGTCTTCCTCGCATCACTGCTCTTCACAAGCATACTTAAACAGCACTCTGGTCACAGGGCTTTGGGGCCAGAGAACCCTAGAATGATTTCCAGTGCATCAGCTTTTTCATCTGTAAAAGGAGGACAATAACCACCACCCTACGTGGTTAGTGTTAGGATCCAAAATATTTGAGCAGTGTCTGGCAAAGGCCAGCATGTGACTGACCCTCAAAGGCAGCAAGGGTCACCGTGATGCACCCGCATGGCCACTGTGTGGAGGCAGCTGTTTAACCAGCGTCTGCTGCAGAGCACTGAAATCACTTTCTTCTGTGTTTCATTATGTTCATGTGATCATGGTCTATTATTTTTTTTGCCATTATAAATTTAAAAAAAAACTATAATGAAAACCTTTGTACACTAACCTAACTACACTAACTATGCTAACTATACTATACTACACTAACCAGTATAGGAGACACTGTCTAAAATATTCTACAAAACCCACCTCCCAGTATTCGTGCCCATGTGCGATCCTTTCTCTAGAGAGTGGGCTGGACCTAGTGCCCACTTCTAGCAAACAGACTAAAACAGAAGTGACAAGATGTCACTTCAAGATTAGGTTACCAAAAAATAGGACTTCCATCTCTCCCTCAAGCAGACAAGCTGCCTGGTTGTAAGTAGCTCTATGGGGATGCCCAGGAGGTAAGGGACTGGTGTCTTCAGCCCACAGGAGCAGAGACCTGAGGCCTGCCTGGAGGTGACTTCTCCAGAAGTCAAACCTTAAGATGATGCAGCCCTGGACAACACCTTGACCACAGGTGGTCAGAGAGAAGTGAATAAGAGCCACCCAGCCACACTGCACGGGGATTCCCAGCCCACAGAAACACTGAGATCATGTTTATTAAGCCACTCAGTTTTTAGAGTGATCTGTTACATAATAAATGTAGTTTTATTTTTAATTAAAGGTAACATTTCAAAGGAGGTAACTCTAAGGGGGAGCTGGAGGACAGCCTCTTAGAGGGGACTGTCCAAGAACACTGCACTGCTGGCTAAATACAGAACGGGATGTTATTCTTGTGAATGTTTTCAGTGTTCAACTTTATTGACCATTTCCTTCTAGATGACTGTACTCTTAGAATTCCATCTTCTCCTCCACCTGCATCAACCTCTTTTCTGATTGAACCAGTTTCTTTTCCAGCAATTGACAAACAGGAAAACCTGAAGTTTCAAGGCCATGGGCAAGATTTGCTAAGTTTGAATCTGAATTATGGTGTGTACCTATTAGAGTGCCAAGGATTAAATAAGTTAATGCACCAAAGGGCACCCAGTAAATGTGGAATGGCTGAGGGAGGCTGGAGAGGAAGCTATGAGGTTTGGAATCTGTCCCGAGGGGACAGGAAAACCCACCTGGGGGCCCTCCAGGGCACTGCCAAGGTAAAATCTAGGAGCAGTAATTCCTACAGAAACGAGATTACAAAGAAAACATATGGGGGGGGGGGTGCTTTAACTATTTCCCAGCAGGGAAACCGGTGTGTTTTTAAAGTAGGAAAAATTTAAACAAGTATATGGGAAATGATACTTCTTGTGATCTAAGAACTGATACTCTAAAGTGTTATGTACTTATTTTCTATTTAAAGAGTTTCAAAAGTGGGCTGTCAGCTTGCTTAGCCCTTCCTAGCACACGGGGGAGAAGGAAGAATTGCGGGTGAGAGCGGAGAGAAGCAGCAGGGCCCCTTCTTCGTACACTCACCTTTACAAGCCGCTCCCGTCTCTAAGTGTGAAGGCCACGCGATCCACCACTGAGAGCAGTAACTGCTCGGTTACTGAGTGTGGACTTCGTTCCAGGGAAAATACCACCTTCACTGCATTGGCTCACTTGACCCTAACTCAGCCAGCACGACCAAGGCTGTCTGTCTCCAAGCCTGTGCCTCCAGACAAATGACTTTAATGGTGGGCATTGAGAAAACAAATTTTAACTGGAATAGGGGGAAAGGACAATTTAAAATACAGGCAGGGAAGATGAAAACAAGAGAAATACACCTGGAAAAAGGGGCAGAGGTGGGGACTATGCAGCATGGAAGCGGAGAGGGTGGGGGAAGGAACGAGGGGGTCTCGAAGGCAGAAGGGAAAGTCGCACTAAAGCCTGGGCCTTATTTTCACTCGCATACCCTGGGAGAATGCAGTCTACTGCTTGGGCTGAATAACAGAAATGAACACGATGTAAGAGACTGTATCCAGTGGCTTTACAATGCTCCCTATGTGTGACCATGAATAAGAATTTCATAGTATAATGCGCCAAATCATCTGATCCTGGGCTCACACCTCAGCTCTGCCACTTGGGAGGTGGCTGATCCTTGACAAACTCCTGGACAACTGAGCCTCCGCTTCTTCCTCCACAAAACTGTGCCAATAACAACTATTTCAAGAGACGATTTTTCTCTCTTTTCTCTTGACCTCACAATGCTAAATTGAGAGCTGTCCCTGGTCAAGCTCAGTTTCAACCACATAATTAACTTAATTTCCATATACAAAGGACTTCTTCTTCCTTATTTAATGTTAAAGAGTCATTATCAAAAAACACCTTTTAAAAATGAATAAACATGTAATAAGTCCTTATTCCTTATTATATGCACAGAACTACACTGGGTACTAAAGATACAATGAAGAAACAGAGCCATGGCAGAGATTCTATCGTCAGACTACAGTGTAAAGTTTGACTCTATCATTTATTTACTACTTAGTTGACCTTGGGTAATAGCAGTAAAGGTAACAAAGGCCAAGGGGTGCATGTTTGTTGAGCCAGGCTCTGTTGCATGTATTTACCTGATGTAATCATCTCAGTAATCCTACGGAACAGGTACCACTGCTTTCCCCATTTTACAAATAAGAAACTGAACCACAGAAAGGATAAGCAACTTGACCAAGGTCAACAGGATATGGGCACCACCCGCTGCTCCTCACTGTCAGAGGACAGGCTACAAGACCAAGACCCGCAGAACTGCCTTCTGCAGGCCTGCTTGGGAGGGCGGAACAGTGCGTGGAAAGAACTAGGATAGCAGGCACAGCAGGCGGACAGAGAAGGTACAAAGATGACAAGGATACAACTAAACTGGAGAACTAAGCAAACTAACAGACTGAAACTATTCAGGTTCCTTAGTCCCAACCACCGAAGTCGCAGGGCACTTGCTCTGTCATTGCCCAGCTGGGTGAAAGTTCATGTTTATACCTCATACTGTAGGAAGATTGTGAAAGGGGAAGATTAAGGCTGGGACCCTACCAATCTACAGTAAATACCCTGTCTACCTCCAGGCCTCACCTAAGAGTCTATATTCATTGATGCTGCTGGTTACAGGCAAAAGGATTTCAAAAGAAAAAAAAATCTTAATTTTGTCACAAAGAGGTAAGCTGTTTAGAATTATTCTTAACACAAAAGTTTCTAGAGACTAAAAATCATTTTTCTAAACAAAATGATGCATCAAAACCACTAAAACTATAAAATGCAAGGACTCCTATGGTTTTGAATGCTGTCTCTCTTTACTTCCATAGTTCCTTTAAGTCTAGCCAAAGGGCTGAGATCTTGAAACACTGTAGAATCCCTTAATTTAGGAAACTCAGTAACAGTTCAACCCCTTCACCTTAGCAAAGGGAAAGCAGGGGCAGGTAGGCTAGTATTTGTTCCCAAGTCATCAAGTGTGTGAAGAGGAGTCCCTTCTTGCAGTGGGTGGTCTCCTCACATGCAGGGACTCTGCTCCTCCATCAGCTGCAGGAAGGTGCAGAAGAGCTACAGGAATTTAAGTGCAATAGCAGCACATACAAGGACAGAAAGTCGAGAGGTGACCTGGTGATTTCAAAATGAAGTTCCGTCAAAGAAAGATAAGCAGGAGGACTTTACTCGTTACACTGTTAACTGTACTAAAGCAAACTATGAGATGAAGAAACGGCCTAGTACAATCAGGAAACTAAAAAATGTGGAGCCTGCAGCTACCGGCACCACTGTTTACTGAGTCATTAAACATTGGAGTCAAACTGATGCAGGCGACAGAGGGCTAGGAAAGCAGCCCTTACCCCCTGACGGTCGCACCACTAGTAGAGAAGATGACACATGGACATTTTCATTCATCTGCACCCAGAGCGACAAGTTCAGTTTTGACCAAAACCATGCAGAAATGGGGTATCCTTCCTCCGCCAGACCTCCCGGGGAGAGCCAGACCCGGGTCAGCTTTACTTGTGTGAACTTTCCCAGGCTGCCAGGGAAAGGAACTGTGTGTGACACCTGTCGTCCCCTCTCGCTGGCACTGATCACACGGGGCGCAGGGCCGGCGGACTCCACTCACCGAGAACACGGCGTTCTGCAGCCCGAACGGGATGGGGGTCAGCCTGGCCAGCGCCACCACCTTGAGGCCGCCGGCTCCCTCCACCACGCGGATGACAGCGCTCAGCCGCTCGCTGCCCCGGACCCGGGCGGCCACGCGCGCCGCCAGCAGCCGCCGGCAGACCACGTGCGCGACGACGGTGCCCAGCAGGACGCCCAAGGCCATGAGCGCCAAGCCCAGCACGAAGCCGTACAGGTAGCCGGCGGCCACGCTGAGCACGATGTAGCCCCAGCCGCAGGGGAACGACACCGCCACGAAGCCCAGCACGAAGAGCAGCAGGCCCAGCAGCGGCGGCAGGCCCTCGGCCCAGAGCAGCAGGTGCTGCAGCGAGCGGCGGGCCAGCGCCAGCGAGGCCAGGCCCAGCGCGGCCAGCACGCAGCCCAGCGCCAGGCCCCGGCAGCCGCAGGCGCCGCCCGGGCAGCCGCAGCGCACGCGCCCCACCTCGGCCACGCCGCCCACCGCGCCGCCGCCCCCGGGCCGCCCGCCGGGGCCGCGCCCTCAGCCGGCAGCTCCGAGGCCGCGGGCGGGCCGGGCGCCCAGACCGGCGCCGAGCGGGTAGGCGGCCCCGGGGTCCCCGCGCCCGCCCGCCCGCCCGCCCGCCGCAGGGCCCGGCAGCTCGGCGTCGGCCGGCGCGGCCTCAGCCGGCCAGCCCCTCCGCCGCGGCGCCCGCCAGGCAGCGGCCCTCCATGGCGCTGTCCGCTCAGGGGCGGGGAGGCCCGGGCAAGGCCGGGCAGCGGGGACCGTAGGCGGACGGACGGACGGACGGTCCCGCCGAGAGCGAGAAACTCCAGACCCTCAGCCGCGAGCCCGCCCCTTTCCGGCCGGGGGGCGGGGCCTCGGGCGCGGGGGCGTGGTCCGGCGCGAGCGGCCCTCTGGGCCCGCCCCTCGAGACGCACGGCCCTCTCCTCGTGACGCACCGCGCCGCGGGGCGGGCAGTCGGGTCGGGTCTCCGGTGCCCACTTGGGCGGAGCCCTCCCGACCCGGGCCCTGCTGAGTCCGACACACTCGAGGGGCCCTCATACTCGCGGGTGTCTCCTCCTTCTCTTGCTCGTTCGGGTTCGTGTTCCCGTGCCCCGCACGCACGGTACCGCCGGGGCTCCGCGCCTTCTCGCCGCGGAGGTGAGAGCGAGAGTCGTGGCGAGGACTCGCACCGACCCAGCTTCTGGCCCTCGGTCTGGAATCGAGGTCTTCGTGCCACCTGCGCCCCCCTTGACCTGGGGACAGTGGTCGTGGTGCCGCAGAAGCACTGTGTGCGTGTTGGGTGAATAAAGGATCCCGCTTCATAGGGGAAGCCAAGGAGGCAGGAGAACCACACGGGAGACCAGAAGCCACGAGGGCGGGACGGGGCGACAGTCGCGGAGCAGAAGACAGAAGCATCTACAGGTGGCGACTGATTGCACGTGGGAGAAGGGAACAAGGAGTCAAACTTAACACCTGGTCAGAGGGGATGGTGGTTGTGGGGCTGGGTTAAAAAGGTGCAGGGGTTAAATAAAAACAAAAAGCAAACTCATAGACCCAGACAACAGTATGGTGATTCCCAGAAAGAAAGTTGGGGGGTGGGGGTGGTAAATGGTGATGGAAGGAGACTTGACTTGGGGTGCTGAACACACAATACAATATAGAGATGATGTGTTAAAGAATTGTACACCTGAAACCTATGTAATTTTATTAAATTCTATTAAAAAGGAGTAAACAACACCTGGGTGTCATCTTATTCCGGGTAGAGGTAGGCACTGCAGACAGTTTATGGGACAGATGCAGAGTTCCGTCATGGTACATGAGATGTGAAATGTCTGGTGCAATCCCACAGCGGCATTTCAGTAGCATCTGAAAATGTGGATAGGAGTGAGCACGGGCGGGCATGACCAGGAAGGCGTGACACTGGTGTGTGGGCAGCAGTGAAAGCCCTGGTGTGCCATGCATGTCCTGTTCTCATTCAGGTTGCTGATGCACAACCTTCCAGAACGCTGTCTTTGCCAGTGCAATCAAGAATGTTCCAGATGGGCTCTATCAGTCTGGATCTTGGAGGGGTTGATGATGCAGAATGAGTCCTCTCCACCTGTAATTTGTATTTAAGTGAGAAGTGAGATTTGAGGGCTTTATTTGTCACCAGAGCAGATCTCTGTCACTTCTGACTGATGTGAGTGAGAAGAGAAGAATACAACCTTAGGGAAACCAGTGTGCTCATCAGACTATTTTGCATGCAAGAAAGACAGACCCAGCGACCACCTTGATTAAAAGGGTGAAGCAGGAGTATTCATGAAGATAATATGAATAGCTGTCAGGAACCTAGACACCTCCAAAGAAGCCATTCTTATTTCTTTCCCATTGTATCTCTATTCTTTACCTCTGATCTGTCCTCACAGTACCAACTGCTAATTCATCCAGGTAATTTTATCCACTAATCCACTTTTGGTTGGAGGACAATTCAGTTGCAAGAGCCTTTTGCTCTAAGCCAAGTCTGTGCTCCCAACCAGCCTGTGGTGGGTTTAGTCTCCTGCAGGTGCTCACCCTGATGAAAACAGTGCTGTCCCCACACAAGACTCCACCTAGCTCTCCTGAGCTGGAAGCTCTGGTCAGGGCAATGCAAACTATCGTGGGACCTTTCCAATCTTGTCCCATTACAATTGATCTTTCCTTTTACAAAAGGAAATGATAGTTGTGAAGAAGGTAACAATGACTCCCTTACCAAGCATGTGTGATGGGTACATCAGAGTGGAATCAAGAGATTTGATAGCAGGGACCAGGGAGGCAGATGATTTCATGGGGTGGCCATTTCCAGTGAGTGCTCTTAGTTCTGTTCATGGGTTGTATGTAACTAGACTCTGGGAACTGAAGTCTTTCTCCATACTGTGAGCTAATTGTCACTGTAACCATTCTTAGGCAGCTCCTTCTGTCCAGCGTTCATTGTGGTGGGAAATGCTCTGATCTCCTCCAGCTTTGATCTGCCAACGTTGTGTTTACATGCCTGCCTGTCTTTCCAAGCACACATCCTCCTGAGCACAGTTCCAGTCTTCCTCTCCTCCTTCACTACATATGTGACCCAGAAGAAGTAGGTCTTGACTGAGGAGGCAGGTAAGGACTAGTGGAAACAGGGAAGGCACCCACTCCTATCAGTTAAATCATAGTTTAGCTAATAATTATTGAAAATTACAGGCTGACTCTACAGTTAAAACTTCCAGTTCAGAATTGTCTAAAGATTTGTGTTTCCATTTTCACGTAGTTTCAATTCTGTAGAAAATAGATCTCAAGGTTCAGTTAGAAAACTGATAGTGGATGAAAATGCCAAACCTTACAGTTATTGCAATTCTGTTGCTGTGCAGGTTGGTACAGTCTAGCCACCACATTAATTAACACCATGTAGGACATTAGGGCTAAAATGAGTATAGAATATCCCCTTTAAGTTTTTGTTTAGAAATTAAGAAAAATAAAAATTCAGATATTCCACTGCTAATGAGAGACTGATGTTATTATTTCCACAGAACAAATGCCTTCTGTTTTAGGCACATGTATACAGAATTATATGTTGTGCAATATTATTATGTACTTACAGTTTTCCAACTCATAAATTAAGACTAATAGAAAATATATGATTAGAAAATATTGTTAAAATGTGGACTTAGCCTGGCCGGTGTGGCTCAGTGGTCGAACATCGACCCGTACATCAAGAGGTCTCCAGTTCAATTCCCTGTCAGGGCACATGCCCAGATTGTGGGGCAAATCCCCAGTGGGGGGCATGCAGGAGGAGGCCAGTCGATGTTCTCCCTCATCAATGTTTCTGTCTCTCTCCCCCTCCCTTCCTCTCTCTCTCAAATCAATAAAGAAAAAAAATTTTTTTTTAAGTAAATAAAATGTGGACTATGTCAAGACTATGTGTGTGGTTCACAGGGAAGAAGTTAGGGAGAAAGGCACACTCGGCTGATCTCAGGCGTACAGTGGCCCATCTGGTTGACACCCCCCCCCCCCCACATCTTCATGTTGCTCCCTCCCAAATCTGTGTTCACAGTTGAACAGAAAGAAGAGGGGCACCTCCCCAGGAAAAAATAGGATTCATCTTTGGTTAAAAGGAAGGGGTTAAAAAAAGAAGCGAGGGAGTAGACAGGCTTGTCCACTCAGCCACTGAATGAGACGATTACTTACTTCTCCATAATTACCAGGAACATCTCCTGTGACCCCAGCATTTTAAAGGCCACACTGGAAGTAAGACTCCGCGAGCCAGGATCTGTCTTCCAGTGTGAGAGGCATAAGCCCCGTAGCACAGGGGTTACACACAATTGCAGCGCGGAGGAAGGAACGGCGAACTCTGGGAGTCAGGGAAGTTTTATGTTTTGCAGCACAGGCGATATTTGAGCTGGATGTTGAAAGGTGAGTATACACTTATTTATATCCTGCTCATTCCAGAAGGATTTAAAGTGCCTCGTGGGAGTTGCCCAAACTGCAGAGGCCTGGCATAGCATCTCGGACCTGGGAAGCGCCAAGTTCAGATGTGTGGAAGGACACAATGTGCTTGGGCAGTGGCAACATGATCTGAGGGCAGCCGCGGCAGATCACATGACCACCATGCTCATCTCTTCAGCAGTGTTTTCAGACTTGAGCGCATAAGAATCCTTAAGAGGGCTTTAAAAGCACAGGTCACTGGGCTCCATCCCCAGATATTTGGATTCTGCAGGTCTGGAGTGGAGGAGGGCAAGAATTTGTGCAGTTTTTACAAATTCCCTAAGTGATGTTGATCTGGCTGTTCTTGCGACTACACTTTCAGAACCACTTCCCCAGAGCTTGGATTTTATCCTATAGTTCAGGGATTTTCAACCTTTTTCATCTCACTATACACATAAACTAATTACTAAAATTCTGTGTCACACCAAAAATACATTTTTTTGCCGATTTGACAAAAAAATTGGTATGATTTTTATTTATTCATGCTGGATGGCTATTGTGTTGGCTGTTGTCATTTTTTAATTGGATAATCTAGGGGGAAAGTGGTCAATGCCCCTGTCTAGTCAGGTATTGCATATTTTAACAATTCTCACAGCACACCAGTTGAAAATCGCTGCTATTGTCAGTTGGGAGTACTTGGAATTTTTATAGCTTGAGAAAAGAGTCAGATTTGGATTTACAAAGTTTCCTGGAGCTGTGAGGAAAACTGGTAGGGAACAACTTACTACACTGTTTCACATGCCCACAAGACAGTCAGTGGGTCTCAGCGGCTTTATGGAAAGATAAAATAGACCCGAGAATGTCTAGAGGCTTGATCAAGATTATTTGGGATGATTGAATATGGGGAATAAGGGGGAAAAAAGAATCTTGAGATGTCAATATTACGTTTCACAGTGTGATTGAAATACTGTAATATTTATGTTCTAAAAATATAATGCCACCCATATCTTACAAATGGGTTCCAACCAATCTCAAAGTTTCAGCTCACTTTCTTGCCGGTTTTGCAGGTTAGGTCTTTTCACCTTTACAGCTAAAGGGATGGATGGTTTAGCCATGGTCCTTCGGCAGTCACACCTCAACAGTGTGTGATATGAAGCCCACTGAGGTAGGATCAAGGCTTCCTAAGGAGGCACCCTCTAGGGGCGCTGTTCACCCACTGTGCCCACTCGAGTGTCAGAACCTTAGTGGTACCTTTTTTAACCTCAGCAGACTCCTAATTACTGTAGGAGGTCCCTCCACTACACAGGACGTAATAGACACACCATAAAGGATAAATGGAGGCTGGCTGAAACCACACAATGGAAAGTGAAGTGTATGAGTCACTTGCTCCTAATTACATTGAATGTGTAATGACACAGTGTGGTTGTGATTTAATTTCCCGTTTCTACAGCAACTGTGCCTCAGGAACGGTCTCTGTCCTGTTCTTTTTTTGAATATTGTTCTTCTTCAGGTGTGCAGGTTCCGCTGACCCGCCTGTGTTTGGGGCTGTTCCCTCCTCTTGCAGGGCTGTTGAGATTGTGAGCTCCTTGTACAAACCCTTTATTATTTTTGCAATTTTTGAAATTTTCCATCAATCTCTGCCA